GTGAATCTCAATGGCCGACTCAACAAGTGCTCTGTTATTTCCCCGCGATTTGACATCAAGATTAAGGTTTGAACAATTTTCATTTCTAATGATCCGACAGATGCGTTAGTAGTGCATTGTTTAGGATATTGAGCAGTACACTACAAACTTGCTTCCATCCCGACAATTCGGATACCTCATTTTGACCACATCAGGTGGAATTATGGATCACGAGGAAGCCAGAAAGAAGCATCTCGGAGGGAAAATTTTGGGATTCTTCTTCTAAAGTTAATTGTTATGAATAAATTGTTGTTGTTTTTTGTTCTGTCTTTAGAAGCCGGTGGCAAATAAGTGGTTGTCTTCAAACTATTGATGACAAATCATAGAAGTTGTATGCTTAACGTCGGTGCTGCATGCATTTTACCTGGACTTCGCTACCCAGAAAAAGGAAGACTACGAAATGGATCTTACGTTGACTTTAATAAAGTATGAAGTCGGGAGCTGCAAAATTCTGAGTTAAGCATAGAACACAACTTTCTGTTGAGTAATCTTCACCGTTAATATAATGACTGTCACGTTGCGGTTTTAAATAGGGCGAACCTATCTCTGCTGTTGCTTCGAGAAGGGAATTATGCGAATAGTGCAATTCTGTCATAGCATCGATATTTGGATTGTGCTTGAGGGGTAGATCCGAGCAAAATCGAGTATTCGAGTTCTCATCAGACGATAATGGTCTGACTGAGCTATTCTCCGAAAATTCGCTGTGGTAAGGGAGAACATCGCTCCAGGCTGGTAGGTAAGCCCCCTCACTCAGCGATTTCCCTCACAGCAGCAACCTTGTTTGGCTTTCCAACAGTGCTCTCCAGCGAAAAAGACATGCGATCGTTTCGGGACTGACGAAAATTTGAACGCCGCTGTCACTGGTTTCCGTTGTTCCAGAAAAGGTCCAGAGTCTCTGACAACGTCACGGGATTGTAAGGTCTGTTTTGCATACCAAAACGGTTTAGAAAATGTGAAAAAGTGAAGCAAAAATTTGCCTGGGCTATTCAAATTCTATAGGGCCTGGGTTAGCGGGAAGGTGAGGGGGAGCTTAGTAATCAGTCAGAGAGCTGCATTTCAGATACGGGCTGTGGGATGAGGTTATGTTATGCTTTTTATTATGAATCGATGACCTGGTGTTGGGAACTTGGTCTTTTGCTTCAGGTT